TAACATGACCGGCATCGATTCTTATCGTTTGTTTTAACTCCGATATATGTTCGAAAATCTCCAGCTCTTGTAGTCTCTGAGATCGACGCGGTCATTCATACGACGCCATTAAAAAAACCTTGAATCTTTTCAATAGTATAGCATTAGCTCAATAAAGCATATGTCCCCCTTAATTATACGCGTAGCATGTATAGCTATAAATAACTTCTAGGCCACATACATGTTTTTAATTTTCGAAAAAAAAAACTAGCCTAAAAACAGAAAAGTTGAAATGCGCTTTGCTGGCGTACAATTAAAAGCCACGAGTCGAAAACCGAAATTCAAGACCCGAAGGCTCGTGCATAATAAAAATTAACCGTTTATGAATAATGCAGTCAGCGGTAACATAATAAGCCGGTCAAAATGTTGTGGGTGTTATGTGGTCAGCAGGGTGGTTGGAGAGGGGAGTCGGAGACGCGGGGCGGAGTATTGTTTTGTGGTGGATCTCTTGGCTGCTTTTATGACATGACATAAGCGTTTAAATAATACAAAGAAATGAAATTAAAAAGCTGGGTAAAAATTCTACAAATTGCATGGGCATGCAGGCTCGACGATGTGAGGGGGGGAGGTGAAGTGTAGCCTGCAGCTGGCGGGGAAAAGCGAAAGCAAACATGTGACATATGCGGCAATTAATGCCGTTAATTATTAAAGTTAACACCCAAAAGCGACATGCACAAGTCAAATAAATAAACACGCAGCCAACCAACCAAACGACTCATTGGCTTGCCACACACCAAGTCAAAGCCGCGCAACCCTGCCTATAAAGCTGCCACAACAACAAGAACAACAGCAACAACAACAGCAAACGTAAAGTTTAGCCCAAGCCCCAAATGAAAACCCAAACGCCCCAACAATTAAGGACAATGCGTGCTAATTTCAAACGAAAACTCCAACGTCGCCAACTGAAAAATCCGGAGCCCCAGCCAAGGCCCAGTTCCAAACCCAGCCCCAATCCCAGCCCCCAGCATTAGCAGGAGGAGCGCTGTAATAATGATTTTTATTTATAAACTGGCGGCGGCACAGGACGCGAAGCAGTACCCATGCGTGCCACATTGGGATTATGTGAGTAGTTGGCAGCGTGGGTGGCCTGGCCAGGCGTTGATAGGTGGCTGAGTGGGTGGATGGGGTGTAGTGGGTGGAGTGGGGTGGGGTAAGGGGGGCATATAAGAAGGACAGTTGGCACATAAATAATTTACACGCCTGGCGCAAGGCAACACATCCTTTTTGTTGTTATTGTTGTTGTTGCTGTTGCCGGCACTGCTGACATAATTCTATATATATATATATATATATATATATATATATATATATATATATATACATATTTGTACATATATATATTTTATATTTTATATTTTTAGTTGTTTTTTGTTGACATTTTGGTAGCTTTTTTTTTTGGCAGCAGGAAACAGGCAAAGCAAACAAAACTTTGTTAATTTTATGCAACTTTTTGGCATTTACGTGTTTAGTTTATGACTTTTGTTGTTGTTTCTTGCGCCCTCTCAGCCTCTCTCACTCGCGCCCGCCCTCACTCGGCCACATCGCGTCGTTTAAAGGAAATTATGATTTTTTGTTTAGGGCTCAGTTTTGAGCTTATGCATAGCTAGAATTTTATGCAGTAAATAATGCACAACAAATCGGTTCAAGCTTTTCTTATCGATCCATAATCAATATACAGTGATGACTCGGTTGAACGGTCGTAACTCGCTTACTCAAGAGAACTGTGCGCCTTATTGAGAGGAAATAAGTAGGAACTAAAACAGAATGGTTTGCTATATAATGTCCGCTCAAGAGGGATGTCCGCCTGTGAGGTGACTTTAAGGAGGGTATTATAGGGTCTCACAGATATATATGTATATACATTTTCTATCTATTGCAAAAAAGACTATTTTAAAACTTAGCTCAACTCTATATTTGATAATAGTAGAGCCTTTTCGATAACAATCCATTGTTGTCGATTAATTTAAATGGTTGCAACTTTAATTATTTTTCTTTTAAGAATGGCCAAAGTATCTATTCTAAATTTGTTCACTCCATGTTTTATATCGGGAGCTTAATCGACTTTTCATTTCAATTATCTTAGCTTGAATATAAATTCACACATGTATATCTTAATGAAAATCAGACATATGCATTCTATGATTAACTACCTTTAAAACGACCAATCAATTATTTCCGCTATAGACATGACGACATATAAGGCCCGTTGCTCTCAGGCATGATTAGCTTGGAGACCTAAAGATATACAAATCTTTTAAGCGTTTGCATTATCGGGGATTATTTAAAAAGATCTCGAACTGATTTTTTACGATCAACTTTCGACTGCGTTCCCCGCCCTGCATCAAGTTTGATGCGATCAGTTCCAATCGACTTGGTCTCCTTCCATGTGTGTGGGTTGCCCTCTTTTTGTATTCGTTGAATATTATTGTTATTTTTATATTTTTTTTTTATTTTTTATTGCTGTTGTGTAAACAATAAAAGCAGCCAAATAAAAATACTTTTGACAATGCCCAAAATTTAAAAACCGGCAGCACATCGTGCGATAATGAAGATGATGTTGATGGTGATGGTGATGATGATGTTAATGATAATCGAAAGGCCAATGCGTTCATTAGTTCTCATTATGGAAAACGAAGAAGAAGAAGAAAAAAAGAGATGAGAAAAAAAATTGCTTGAGCCGAATGATAAACGCATTTATAAACAAAGCGTTTTTCAACAGAAACCATAACTAACACAGTCTGGAATTCAGGGAAAGAGCGCGAGAGTTGCGCGAGAACTGGTTTCGGGCATGCGGGGGCTCCACTTCACTCGATCTGTCCACTCGGCTCATTGTCTGCAGCTAATGAACTCTATTAATAATGATGGCATGCGATATCTTACAGATACAAAAGATGCCCATAGAAAATATATTCAAATATATATATTTGATTTGATTATTGCAATAATTTTCTTAAAAGCGCTAACCTAGTCGTGGGTGGCCCCTCAATGCGAGTTGAATTCGTAAATGGACTCAGCGTTATCTGTTAGCTTTTAAGCACAAACGAGCCGCAAATGAGGCGCGACCATGTAAAATACCGATAAGAGCTGTTCAGCTGTCCACTCATCGTGTGGGTGTTGGCTTTGGCTTTGAGAACTGCAGAGAAAGGGTCATAAAACGTATCGATAACAAAATGACCTATTTGTTAAGCGTTTAAGCAAGCGTTGTTGAAGAAATATAAAAAGTGATTGCTTTGAAGCTGTTAAACTACGTAAATTGGAAATATCCAGATATTTGAGTTGGTTTTCAATGGATAAGATAATCCATATTATTGATAAGTCTCTTATATATTGCCTAATTGACAACTTGCCTATGAATTCAAATTCTTGTTAATATTTCGCTGTTTGTTAATATTGCTTACATTTAAACTGTTGACGTATTTGTATGCATTATGAAATCATTGAGATTTATACTTCAGTTATTGCATTTTAACTTAGCACCTTACAGCTGAAAAGACTCTTAATGGAATATACAAAAAATAACAGCTCGTGCGCGCATGAGAATCGCCTAGAAAGGCGCGCATCGAAGGGCTGTCAGTGGCAAAGCCCTTTCGGGCTGAGATAACTTATTTGTAGCCTGCCCAGCGCCACAAACGAATGCACAGAAGTGCATTTCAAGTGCACTTCGAGTGCTCGTATTCGCATTCGCATACGCCAGAAGGAGCAGTACGTGAAGTGCGGACCATAAACTTTGAATGCTCAATGGACAAGCAGGCAGCCCCTTATTCAATCGTTCTTATTGTTGTTGCTGCTGCTACTGCTGCTGCATTGTCGAATGCATTTTTATAACAATTTAATTATATTTATGCCGTTTATAAACGTGGCGAATGGTCGGATTGGCGGCTGGCGGTTGGCTGGGGACCCATTGCAAAAGTCATTCAAGCCAAAGTAATGCAAAGGAGCGCAGCTCATTTTCCGCTTGTCTCGCCAATCCACGTCAACCAACGAGGCGCTCGCTCTCTCTCAGTGCCATCGATGCGTTGTCCAAAGCCAATGCCAATGCACATAACGACGTCCATTACACGCAACAGCAGCGGAAACAAGAATAGCAACAAAAGAAAATGGCGTCTGGCGACAATATGCGTGCGTGTGTGTGTGCCTGTCTGTGTGTGCGTGTGCATGAGCGAAATTATTTTTATTATTTTACACAATTTTTATATGAAAGCCAAATGCGATACAACAAAAGAACTTTACAACATGGCATAAATATTTAGTATATTGCAATTGCTATTGTTGTTGTTGTTGTTGTTGTTGTTGTTGTTGTTGTTGTTGTTGTTGTATTTGTGCGGCAGCTCTTGTATTTAATGAGATTTTTTAACTTTTTCAAAAGCGCCTTAAGCGCTGCTCTGTCGAGCAAACAACAAACTTTGTTTGCCATTCAATATGCACACTTGTACATCATTATTCAAATATGTATACATACATTATATAAATACAAATGTATATCTATATAAAAATATGTATATATATATACATATATATCTTTATTTAAAGCTTCTGTTGTCTTTTGCTCAACAATTTGTTTTGCTCGCACTTGAGTATTTCATAAGTGTCCAGCGATAAAATGCACTAAGAAATGTTAGTTAAATAAGATTCTACCTTGCACGTTTGAGTTATTTAAATATATGAGGAACAGCATAAAAGAAAGTCTATCTGTTCATCAATTAAGTTTGTGCAATTGCATTTCATTTGATTTTTTAACATATCTTTTTTTAAATGTGCCAATTAATGGACATAATTTTCCAGCGATAAGTGTAATTAGCGCTAGCCGTTTGACAATAAAAAACTGCCTTTGATTGGTTTCTGTTGCAAATGGAATTTAAATGCATATTAAGAGCCTTAGTTAATACAAGTATTTAAGTGTTTAAACAATTGAATCAACTTTAATGAATTCTAATCAATTTTTTATACCATTCAAATTGCAGCCCAAATACGTGTTAATTAATTGGCTTTGAGGACGCTTTGAAGAGCAAGAGGTAAATTTCCGATATCTATAGTACTGTCATTGCCAGAAAACATATTTCTCACAACACACAGGCCCCTTACAAAGTCCCTCCCTCTTTCCCCTACACACACATACACACACACACACCCACACACAAGCCCGATGGACGCTCAGTCGACAGCCAGCCGCTTATAATAATAATGCGATTTATCAAATGCACGTAAATTACAATAAATTAAAGACGAAATTAATATTAATGACCAAGACTGGCCGAGACACACACACACACACTACTATAAGATATATACAATTATATATATAAATATATATATATATATATATATATATATAGATAGATACGCCCAACTTCTGTGCTGCTTGTGTCCACCCCCTTGTCTTGTAGTCCTTAAGACAATTGCCAAATTAAGTGCATGCCTGCCTGTGGTTGTTTCTGTGTGTGCGTGTGTGTGTATGTGTGTGTGCTTGTATGCCTAAGCGTGTGTGTGTGCGTGTACACAACTTGAGATCTTAAATATGAAAATCGTTCTTTTGATTGCAAATTTGCCTATTTGCATGGCATTTGGAGACCGTAGAGCACAGTTAATAAGCCTGGCTATAATAGCGCAAAACTGCAAAGCTAACAAATCGCCAAGCGATTGAGCTAGCTGCCATTGATGGGCGGTGAGCCGGTGGGCAGTAGGCGTGGTGCAGTAGGTTGCTATTAAGTAAAGTCTGTTAGAGATGAGCATAGGTTCAATGTGCGAGTCTATTTAAGATATACAAATGTTAAGTATTCATTTATCGTTAAGGAATATTTTGCAATGAATATATTATTTATAAATTTATTTTAGAGCTTGCATTAGTAGGGATTTTGATCATTAGCCGCGTTATATATTATGTTTTATGTTATATTATTCCATTTTTATTGATATGCTATTCCAAGGGTTTCAACTTTGCAAGAAAGTATGATTATTTATTAATTTAATATTTGCATTTTGAAAAGTATTTTTATATATATATTTATTAACTTGAATTTTATAATATATAATCAACATTATTATTAATTTGCCCAATTTAAGACGAAAATATTAAATTATTAAGATCTTTAATATGTATACATCACATATTACGTACTGAACATCAAAGTTACTTAGAAAAATTCTCAAAATAGTTGTAGTTCAACTTGGTCCCTAAAATATCATCCTGCTAGCACATATCACAGTTTTCTTACACGGGCAGTCACTAGTTTTTTGGGGCAGCTCAGATGATTGTTTCTTCAGCTGAAGCTGGCAAATTTTGCATATTTAATGAGCCTGGTGTGGCACAAACGCAGCCAATGCTTTTACATATGTGCATGTGTATATAGGTACATGTGTGTGTGTCTGCGTATGCGTGTATGTGTGTGTGCGTGTGTGTTCTGTGCACCTGTGTCCGAGTCTGTGTCTGTTGCTGAGTTTTCGGGCTCATTGTTGCTAGCTTGTTGAGTTGCAATTTGGCTAACAAATTATGCAACAGCAACAAGCCGACACACACACACAAAGATGCAACAGCAACAACAACAACAATAACAAACAGATACAACAACAACAACAACAACTGCACTACTGACCCAACTGGGCCCAAATCCTGCGCCTGCAGCTTTTGGGCCACGTCAGGCATTGACTTTACGACCCCGACCGTTGCTACGTTGCCATCCGTACGGCCCTGTTAAATAATTGTAATTTATGGCATTTTACACATATAAATATATGGAAATCAATAAATTTCAAACACGCACACATATACACACACACACGCACATACACATACTCGGGATAGTTACACTTGCATGGGCAATTTCCCCAATAGACCTGTGTTCAGTTTGGTTTTTTGGTCAGCAGTTCATTTACACGCACTATAAATTGCATTTGGCCAGCTCCCCAGTTGGCCAGTTACCCTTTATAGGCGCCCCCTGCACGACCCCCTACCACCCTATTTCCCGCCCAGCCGCAGCCGCATCCACGACCACAAACTGCACCCCAGCCGGGCCGCTGCTGCTGCTGTTTGCCTTGTTTGAGTCATCCATTTGGCTTATTGTTATTTGGAATTTAACAATTATATAATGTTGTCGAAATTAAAGGTAAACTGCCCGCTGATAGATGCCCCTCCGCCCCCTCCTCCGCTGACCGGATTGGCAAGCCACGTCCCTAGGAGATTTGTACACTGACCTGGCCGCACCTTTTTTCAATGATTGCATTTTGACTTTTAAATATGCACAATATTTTGCATTTCAATTGCGGTTTTCACACACACACACAAACACACGTGCGAAGTACACACATAAATGTAATAACTCTGTCAATTTGTGTTGTGCCTGCGGCGCCTGTTTCATGTCGTGTTGACAAATCACGTGGGTAGTTTCAACAATTGCAAGTCGTCGTTTTCTACTTGAATCTAATACTATATTTTAAATTTAAAAAAAGTCCATACCTTTTGTACTCCTTTTGGCCCCACATTGTGAACCATTTTGTGCCCCTTTTGAACATCTTTTAAGCCCTTGCAGAACTCATTTGAACTTATTTTATTTTTAAATTCATATTACACCCATCTTCTTTTAAAGCACTTTCAAATCTTTTTAAGGCCTTCTTTAAAGCTAGTTTAAACTGCGTTTGTTCACTTTTTAAGTCATTTGTGCACCATTTATACGCCATTTAGGAACCGCTTTTTAATCTTCCTAATTCCTCTTTTAAATCTTTTTTAGCTAATTGCCTGTTGAATCTCTTTTCGATTACTTGTTGAACTTGCTTATAGCGCACTGTGAATCATTGTTTGTCGCCCTTTCGGAACCTTTTTTCAACACTTTTAAAGCACTTTTGAATCCTCTTCGAACCATCTTAAGCCAGCTTGAACTTCAACATATCAAGATGATCGTCGAATACTAAAGAAATTCAGTAAAGTTGTTTTAGTTCATAAATAAAAGTATAGAAAACTTAAAAAGCCCAGCTTAATAGACACAAACTCTTCGACTTTTGTAAGATTCTTTACAAATGTACCTCGTACGAAAAACATATATTTAGTTATTAATTTCTTTTGAATATGGTTAAATGCCTAATGAAAAAATTATCCGAATGCTGGCTGTGTGTCATCAACTTTTATTTTTATTTTTTTTTTCATTGCGTTTATTTTGTTTATTATTCAATTTCTCTCTCCTCGCATTTATGCACTATTATTATTATGTTTTTGTTGTTGTTTTTTTTTTTTTTGTGGTGCTTGTTAAAAGAAACTTCAGTTTGGTTGGCTTTTGAAATGCAGGTTTTGTGCGTATTTTCATTAATAATCGAACTTAATTAAATTGTGTCAAAGCTATTAAATTTTTATTGTCATTTTTGCGAAAACACATAAGTGTGCAATACGCTTAAGCCGCCGCCGATGCCACATGAAGACACCGGCAGCCCCCCTTGAACAGGCGGTCTCATTGAATTGCGTTTCAAATGAATTTATGGCCACTTATTTGTTATATATATATGCATACATATGCACATACATATACATAAATATATATCATAAACCTATTAGACAGCAAGCCCCATTTGCGGCACCCTAAACGTGGCCTCCGCCTCAGCCCACCCTCCGGCATATTGTGTGTCAATATGGGCTGGGCATGCGGCTGGCTTTTTAAGGGTCTCTCAATCATGTTTTTTAATGCATAAAGTATCTCAATTTTGTCATGAGCTATGTGAAACAGTGGGGCAGGCATTTCCGATCTAATAGAATATCCGAATTCTATGCAAAACGACTTTCAATTCAGCTTCTTGAACCTCGGCTTAGATTCAACTTGTTGCTGCTTGCCGGCTTGAATCTTTAGTCCATAGTCTAAAATGTATTTCAGCTTTGATTCCCAAGATACTCAGGAAAGAAGAACTTTATTTGATTGAACAGCATTGAAATGCTAGACTCTAGAATCGCTGTTAGCTATTAGAGCTTATGTAGGAGCAATCAATGTTTAATTGACTTGCTGCTGGGAGCACAATATCGTATATGAGGGTATTTAATCTTCGGCATCTTTGGCTTGTTGTTTTGGCAAATGTGTCACTTACCGCCTGGTGTGAAAAGTAATTATGGCGCCTTCTGACAGCCGGTCAACTTCATTCGACGTCCATTAACTTGGCCGCACTTCACATCCAATTCACCCCGCCCCCCTTCACCTCAACCCACACAGGCACCCCCAACCCCTTTCACACACAACTCCACACAATTCCTTCGGTTCAGACAGCTGCGCTTGTTGCATTTTTCTCGAATCGCCGACTCGTTTTTGGCCTTTTGTTTATTTACTTTTTATGTGTTGGCTCAGCTGGACATTCGCCCTGCCTAGTTCGGGGCAGGGGGAATGGGGATGTGGCGGCATATTCCAGTGCTGGTCACGTATGATGACCCAAATGTGCGGCGGCACCTCCTTCAGTTCGTCCAGCGCGCTGCAGTGCTTGTTGTTGTTGCTGTTGTTTTTTTAATAAAATTTATTACACTCTCACATGACAAACATCTACCTCGCACCCACTACCCCACAACCCGTGCCCATGCCCCTCGTTTGCCTTTCGTGTTTGTCTAATAGAAAAATTATGGGCCAAGGCAGGCCGCGACGTTCTGCAGTTTGTGTCTGTGTGTGTGTGTGTGTGTGGCGTAAGGTGGTGGGGCGGGGGTTAGGCCTTAATTTTTATACGCATGCCTCGTCCCGCGTCTGGCGTTCCTCTTGTCTTTGCCTCGTTTGCCCCATAATTATAACATAAAAGTTTTTATTGAAATGCTGAGGCATTTTCATTTACGTGTCGATCCGTCAGACACACAGCACAGCAAGTCGCGATGGGTGTGTGTGTGTGTGTGTGTGTGTGTGTGTGTGTGTGTGTGTGTAAGGGGGGAGTGTGTGCTTGCCTTAATAACAGTTAACGTTTACACACGCATGTGTATTTAGTATTAGGCACACATACACACACTGAAACACACAATTAAATAAATGTAATAAACATTTATTTTATTAATTAATAATTCTACGCTGAAGCCGAGAAAGAACGCTTGTATACCGTACCCACACACACGTATAGAGGCGTGTGTGTGGGAGTGTGTATAATGAGCATGTTGGTCGGCAAATAATTATCATTAAAAATGCACACACCAATTAGCCAAATTCAATTTGCAGCTAACTCGCTGCAAAATGCACAATTACAACAACAAATTAAACATATGTTAAACATTTTATTAGCTCAAAGCTCAAATTTTCCAGCTAAATTGAAACAATATAAACAACAATGGCAAGCACAAAGCAGCAAAAATAACAACAATATCGGCAACAATGGCAACAGCCAAAAGCCAACAGGCAGCACAAATCAAATGTTGACATTTTTCAATTATTGTTTGCTTTATTTATGCATTCGGCTAAAAATTCAATGAATACAAACGATAAAATTTAATTTAATTCAACATTTATAAAAATATGTTTGACTTTTGTTTGTACAATTATTTATTCAAATTTTCTATTATTAAGTATTTTGTTACATACGCTTTCCCCTGATTCAGTCACATTGTTCTAATGCGCCTGTCAACGTTGACATGCACCTTCACGTGCTGTCAAATTCGGTTTGCCTTTACAAATTTCATTTTGCTGCACACCCAACAAAAGTTAGCTAATAAATATGATAGAATACACTGCGAAGCTGGTAATTGCAGAGTTTGGGCAAGTTTCTCTATAAACACTTCATATTCAACTTCTTTATTCTATATCCATATGGTATAGTAGCTCGATGGGAGGTGCATCTTATAGTAAACAAGTTTGAACGATATATCTTGTAACGATATATCTTGACAGCTATATAATATAGGGACCTAATTTTGACCTAATACTTGAGGGCTATGTAAAGTTTGTAATGAATATTTATTATATATATACCAAGTTGGCTTAAGATATATCGTAAATAAATACCAGAATCTAATTTTCAGCCGATTTGTGCTATACCAGTATACGATATTGGGTGCGGATCAGCCCAATTCGCGCATGTGTATTGACTGCAACAAAAAGACTTACATTTAGATCTACGACTGAGAAGCTACACTCGACTCGCCTGGTCTCGCAGATGTCTCTCTCTATGCTTTACACATTTCATCAGAAAATCATAATACCCTCTTTAAACAGACAAAGGCAAATAATTGCTTCTCAACCTATATGCAATAGAAGCCAGCAAAGCTGCGCTATAATTCTCAACAGATTTTAGCGCAAAGCCAGCTTAATAGCTAGCGGTTTTGTAAACTGATATGTGCAAGATCTAATCTGTCCACTTATGTTTTATTCCCCCTATATACAACATGATTCTCACATTACGCTTACATTTCAACTACATGGCACGGCGGAGCTCGTTCCTGGTGCTCATTAGCTGCCTCCTGCCGCCAACTGGAGAGGCAACTCTCGAGGCAGCTCGTTTTCTGCTATCTGCGCACAATGCCAATGTGTAATGGAGTGGAGTGCATCAAATGGCACCGCAATGGCACACACGCTAAAGCTGCATTAGCAACACGACAGCAACAGCAACAGTACAGCAACAGCTACAAATCTGGTCTGCTACGCAATATTATATGGGCAGCTTCTGCCCCCTGCCAGCCCCCGCCCATCCTCATCGTATTTCCTACCAAATGACTGTCTGTGAGTTTTTAATGAAAAATTGCTAGGGCGTTATTTGTTTAATGCGCTTCATCAAACAAGCAGCGGTGGCCATTTACCTGGTTGAGCCGCCCCATCGTGCCATAGTTTCACCCTACCCCAACTGCCACGCCTGGCCTCACCTGCCGCCCCCATTCAGAGCACATACCCTATTTAAGCGCGCCATAGGGCTATTCCCGTGCAGGTGCCGGCATTCAATTTGCTTTCAATCGGGGTAAATAAAATGCTGAAAGCGAAACCACCAAATGACTTCAGTGCTTGTGTGTGTGAGTGTGCGTGTGTGTGTGAAAGAAAATGTTAATAAATTACACGCCAGATTATTATTCTGTGGGTCTATGTCGTGAAAAATTATACACAGGCAGGTTTATTCAGCACCTTATGAAGCGCTCTCATGTGTCATGATAGAAAATCATTTCAATTGGACGACAGCAGCAATGGGATTCTCGATTCTCGAGTTTCAGTTTTGGTTACTTGGGGTTCGTGGCTCATAATTCATGGTTTGGGCCGTATTTGGTTTATTTTGGTTTTTGAACTGCAAACTCGAACACCAAAAACATCCACTTTCAATGTGACACGTGACATGCGACACAAAACAAAAGAGAGCGCAACATGCAAACAATAATTAAAAAGTCTCACTCTCGACTCGGACGCCAAGTTGTCAGTTTTGGGTGTCGGCCTTTAAAGTGTTCACAGTGCATACACTGCAAGAAAATGCTAGAATTTAACAATTGAAATTTACATCTTTAATACCAAATGCTCACATTATCATTACATAGCTTACATATTAAACTTATGCATACATGATGTTCATCTGGTTTCCGCGCACTCACAAGTTTTCCATAAAAAGATTGTGGCTGCAGCATCTTGATTGAATCCTTAGCTGATTCCTTTTCTGATGTAACTCTTTTTAATGGATCATTCGAATACTTATCACACTTTTATCGTACTCACTTTAGGGAAGACTTTATAATGTGATTCGTTGTGCCTGTGCATTGTTTCATAATTTGTGCAGTGCCTAGTTTCAGCTAGTTTGTTATTCATGGTCAATCTTTGGAATTTAGAATTTGACGAGATTTTGAATATAAAGAAAACCGTTAACATCCGCCTAATTGTTTGCTTGTGGATTGCTTAAACGCTTGGTCCTAAAGTGTAGATATTGTTTGTTTTCGTTACTACTTTGACCTTTGACATGAACCCTGCACTAGCTTCAAAATGTAATTCGAGCCTGATTGCTTTTCATTAATAATCCGCTTATCAATAATATGATAATAATTGTATAAGCTTTTAAGCTCAATTCAAAATAGTTCGTTCTGTGTGGTTCTCGACTAACTAGGTGCTATATTGGGCTTTACAGGGAGCTAAAACTTAATAAGTTACTCACTTCAGAGCCGGAGGCTTGTATTTGATGCGTGCATCCATGCGTTTCTTGGCGTTCATGGTGTCCTCGTTGCTGCAGCCGACGGTGAAGGCGGCTATGACTGCCTTCTCCTTGCACCATGCCACATGGCTGTCGTAGGCCTTGAGGTTGAAGCTGCGTTCGCAGTGCGGACAACGTTCTAAGGCAACGTTCGCACTACGCTTGGTCAGTGTGCAATCCCGGTTCATGGAAGAACTGGTTCCGGGAACATTTGCTGCCGTTCCCGATGCTGTTGCCGTCGCCTTGCGCTTGGCTGATGCCGGCGATTCCGGTTTACACGGGGATGCAACGTCTTTGGCTTTTGGAGTAGGTGCGTCCAAGGTCTGTTTGAGAGTAGCTCGCGTCAGCTTCAAGAAAAAGTGAGGGTGCGAAACATTGGGATGTGCTGTGCTCACCTTTGTCTTCGACTGCGGCGATGTTTGTCCACGTGCAGCATCTAGCGGCAGCTCGCTGTTGTGCGTCCCAAAGCTGAAGTACTCAATGCCCTCGCGACGCTGACGAGAAGAATCGAACACTTGACGCTTCCTCAGCACATTCCCGCAGATGGCCGCGTGCTTGGTCAACACCTTCGGATTGAATGTTCGATTGCAATGTGGACATTGCTTCAGCTCCGCTTCGCTAGGTGTACGAGTAGTGCCAGTTAGATTTGATGTCATTTTGTGTGTTATTGTTTTCAAACGTGAGCAGATGTTTTGGAGATACATCGAAAATTTAGAATGAAATACGTATATAAAATAGTACGTGTTGCTGTGTAAAATAAAAATAAAACAAATAAAATGTAACTAAGTGGAATTATATAAAAAATAGCTTGGAGCTATGCTGTCCGTGTGAGAGTCTGAGAGTCAATGAAAAGGCTGTCGTGCAAGGCTTAAAGACTCTTCCATCGGAAACAGGCTTGAATTGACGCATAAATCGGATTTATACTAGATCAAAATATAAATATTTCTAACATGTATAAAAATTAAATTTAAAGAAATTTAACAAAATTATTTTATTTTTGTAAATTTTCTGCTGTAGTATTGTTTTTTTTTCCCCCCACCAACAATAATTGGTACAATTTTATTCCATCACAGTTAAGCAAATTGACTGCGTTAATAACCATGATGATTCCTTGATTCCCTTTTGAATCCTTTTACCTTTAAATTGAATCAAATGATTCATCGATATTATTAACTATCGATTATTTCGCTCAGTGCAGCTTTACGCAGCTGCGACCCATTGGACAGAGTGTGTCTGGAGGAGGAGGAGAACCGCTTCAAGTCTTTCATTGAATTGAATGTTGAAATGGAATTATAAGACAGACAACGCTTTATACAAATTATGGCCTGGGTCTCGGCTTTGCTTCGCACTCTGCCTGCTCGAGCACTTGACAGGCACTGGTCTGGGCTGCATTATCGTTGCCACATCATGCCCCAAGTGGCGTGGCACATTGGCCCGTTCCGGGTGCATTTAACGAACGCATTTTTCATCTGTCCCCCCGTCTCTCTCTCTCTCTCTCTCTCTCTCTCTCTCTCTCTCTCTCTCTATCCATCTCTTCCGCGCTGTGAAGTGATTTCAAAATGATTATTTTTTGACACATGGGGCAACACCTGCATATCATTTGACGGCGGCGGCGGCAACGTTGCAGCTGCCACAGATCCCAATGCCAAAGAGCCAGCCGCCTTCAATATGCATCAAATGCCAGAGGAGCTCATGTAGCTGTCGATGTTGATGAGGCGGCTCTAGTCCGTGCCCCTTACCCCTCCACCACCCTTCGCTCCACCTCTCCATCATTCATATACATCTACATATATGCATACGTATATTTAAACATATGTGTGTTGTTTGTGTATAATTATATAATTTGACTGCTGCAATTATGCTGTTCGTCGTTAATTGAAATGTAAACGTCATCATTATGATAAGACGACGTTGAGGCCCGGTCCGACCCGACCTGTTATATGGAGGGGGATTGAGCCCAGTTCTGCGTTGTGTTTCTTGCATTGTTAGCAACTGACGTGGGCGCTGCGCACAGCTCCGACTGTGGAGCGTGTCAATTCTATTTGTGCTGGCAATTTGCTTGAGGTTGAAGGAGGGGCAGAGACACGCGAGCTGTGTAATGTGGCAGCTCCTTGATCGGCGGCCATTAGCAAAGCCTTTTTACAAGCATTGTTTTCAGTTTGGACCGGATTGCTTGAAGCTGCTTTATGGGCATCTGTTGTGGCTTAGTGTTGCAAAGCGCTCTAAGCGCCAGATCCGATTGTTATCGATAACAAAAAGTAGACGAATTCCCAAGGAGTGTCTGATTGAAATAGTGAATTGAATTGAATTGCTTTAAGCTGCTTTATGGTGCAGTGCTGCAAAACGCGCTAAATGCCTTTTTATTGTCATCGATAGCAACAGCAGACGAATACCTTAGAGGTTTCTGATTGGAAAGGGATTAGCTGGTCTGACAAATAACTAAATATCAATACAGTCTTCTGAATAATACAAATATTAATAGTTATCAGATTGGAGACCAAAAAACGGTGCACAAAACCAAACATCAGATTGAAAATGGAGATTCGCAGGTTGATTTGCACAACTTTGTGCCTTCTTGTTCAATATGTATACACGTTTTACAATAAATACTATCGATCGATAAATACTATCGATCGATCTAATATAATTACATCCACAAGTGTTTTCAACACTATTTATCGAGATGGGACATTTTCACGTCAAGGCATTCATCGATATCTATGTTTTAACGGCGATGCTGCCATTAAGTTAAAAAGCAACTATTTGACAGCAGGCGCTGCATCAAAATTTACTTTTGTATTACTTAGTGAAAAGTCTCATAAGTTTTCAAGAACCGATAATTTCAATTGCAATAAGTCTTCTCTAAACTCACATTGAAAATGTTTACCAAACGTTTGGGCCACCTCAAAGCCGTGGCAATAACACAGAATCTGTGCTGGCCGCGAGTCTCAGGAACGCAGCAAATGGGCTGTGTCTACAGCACAAAGAAGCAACAGCAGCAGCAACAACAGCAGCCGCAGCAGCAGCCACAACAGCCACAACAGCCACAACAGCCACAACAACCACAACAGCCGCAACAGCATCACCAACTGGATCAGTGCACGGTCGATGAGGAGCCGAAGGGGGAAATCGAGTGGCTGACGCAGGAGCTGGCCGCAGCCAGAGTGGAGCACAACGAGCTGCTTGACAAATACAAGCGCGCACTGGCCGATGGTGAGAATATGCGCAAGCGACTCAATAAACAGATCGACGATGCCAAAATCTTTGGCATACAGGGCTTCTGCAAGGATCTGATCGAGGTGGCCGATGTGCTCGGCCATGCCACTCAGGCGGTGCCCAAGGATAAGCTCAATGCGAATGCCGATCTCAAGAATCTGTATGAGGGTCTCAATCTGACGCGCGCCTCACTACTGCAGGTATTCAAGCGTCATGGCCTGGAGGCCCTGGATCCGATCAACCAGAAATTCGATCCCAATCTACATGAGGCACTGTTCCAGACGTTGGACAATACGGTTGAGGCCAATACTGTGGTGCAGGTCACCAAATTGGGCTATAAACTGCACAAGCGTTGCATACGCCCCGCCCTGGTGGGTGTGTCCAAGCGTTAATACCGAAGTCATGCAAATGTCTATCCACTCAAAATCTATATCATCTGTCCTACATAAAATATGGCCGCCCTCACACATTGTTCGCTAAATTATCTTTGTCATGCTACAAAATTCACATAAATATTAAGTAACCACAATCAATGTAGCTTGTGAATACACAGGCAAAAACTCTCACGTTGGCTATAAAAATAAAAAAAAAAATAGTTTGTTCCAGATAATTAAAAAAATTTAAAATTCATCTGCAACCGTCACATAAAATGTGTCATTTAGTACAAACCTTTGGCAACGTCACATTGACGTAGAACTTATAGCAAAGATAGCGACTAATAAATGAGAAGCGCATAGAAGAGCCTTTCAAGGCCCGAATCAATTAGTTTATGGAATCTGAAACGCATAGATGCCTCACTAGAGAAGGACTAAGAGAGGTTCACAAAGCGCTTATCATCTTATTGATATACTTATTGATGTTGATGTTGATGTTGAAATGGAACACGTGGATAAGAATTAAAATTCTGGCAGATACCTATGGAGATATACTTATCTGTTGCACTAAATTGGAATTGATGAAACATGATGAAACATAGTGAAAACCAATTGCTTCCACTGCAATTGCTTCATCTGCCTCGCAGTCCTGAGCTGCTGTCTGTCAATCGAGTGGCTTATTTGTGAGAAGCTCATACAGAGGCGCAATGCCAATTAAACAAAGCGACGGAAACCCATTAAAAATTGAGCGGCCATTTGGCCAATGGCTGGCAACCAGCCTGCGGCGGCTATTTGCCCAAAAACTAGGCAAGAGTACCAAAAAAAAGAGAAAAGAAAAAACAAGTCAAGGAAAAACTTAGCTGCCAGCTGTGTGTGTGTGTGAAAATGCGCACAAATATTTTCAATTACAAATTGTATTTTTCCGTTTAGATAAGCAAAATTTATGGCAGTTCCAGCAGCCCATGCCAGCGCAATGCCGGCAACTGCTTGTAGACGCTGCCCCAGTCTCTAGTCTCCAGGGTCTATGCCCGTCTCAGAGTCCGTTCCAGTTGCCGTTCAATGCCTTCGTCTTCGATCGTCCTTCGGCAACAAACACTTTTGCGCTCCGTCGGCGACGCAGTTGTAAACAAGGCTGCAAGCAAAAAAACCCCCCTCAAAAAATAAAAGGGAATAGCAGACGACGAGCCGTTAGACCAAAGGACCAAAGACGCCAAGCAGCAAAAAGCGCGCAGCCAGAAGAAAAACTACGGAAAAAGAAATGACGTACAGATTTACAGAGTATTTTCTTTTACGTGCTTTTGTGGCGCCGCCAAGTGTCACGTACGCCAGACAGCGGGACGCAGGTGGGGCACATGCGAGTGTGCGACTGTGTGTCTGTGTGTGTTGGGGGCGTGGCCCAGCGTTACGAGGTTTCATTCTTTTTTATTTTCGGTCAACCCCAGACATGAAATGCAATGCGAGCAAATGCCTCGCAACTTATTACAGATGAAGACTCGACAAGGCCACGTAACGCAGCCCCAACCCCCTTTCGCTCAATCCCCCTTTCCCACCAATTCCTGCAATGTTCAGGCTGTAGTGCCCAGGATTCCTGACACGCCCAGTGGACAGCGGTCAGCGGCTCCCTGTACTTCACTGCCCCTCACACCGATTTAAAGGAAAAAGTTTTCACTTCGCTTTCGGGCAGAGTACGCAAAATGCTTGCACTTCAAATTGAATTAGAGTGAATATTTCAGGGTTAGGCGTAGAGGTCAGAGGGGGGCACGACGTGCTGTTGGGTGACAAAAGGTGAGCGGGTGCAAAAAAAAAAAAACGTTGCCATCAACGTCTGCGGCATATTAAAAACGAAATGTAGTTAAAGTTGAAGGTGTTGCAACAACGGTTGGGCGTGGCATCCGCACGAGAACTGAGACGCTTGGACGCGGCACGTTTGTCGTGTTTATAGATATTTTGTATATTTGTCTGCAAACACGCATATTGTGTGTGTGTATACGCAATATTTTTAAATTTCAAAGCACTCGCGTTGCACAGAGACGGAAATGACAAGCAGCGGGAAAAGGAAAGCAACAAGAAAAACTGTTTACCAGCACTGGAAAACTCAACGCACGATCAACCGAAAGATCTACGGAAATTTGCAGATTTTCAAGTGACTCACGTTTATTTATATAAATATCTAATGTTCCTGCTGGCGGCATCTGCGTTCTGATAGAAAATATATGTATATATTCTTGATCCGCCGAGTTGATAT